AGAAAGCAGAACAAGGTTTCAGACAAGAAAGTTTCAAAGGTATAAACAGGGAGCATTAGTGTACTAATTGACAGCAAGCTGAACAGACATTAGAGGGACAGAGAGAGGATTGAAAATAAAAAATAAAAAAAATTGATAAGAATAAAAATAAAAAGTAATTAAATGAAAGAAATATCTCTATATAAAAATGAATTAAAATAAAATGCAAAATAGAAAATTTAAAAAAAACACCAAAAAACAAACAAAATAACCTCCAAGTTCAAATGCAGTGATGTTTGAGTCTTAATAATTTGGGTGTCCATCTCAATCTCCAATCCTGGAGATGGTGCCTCAGATGTTGTTCTGTAGTTGTCTCATCAAAGGGGATGCATAAAGTAGACAAAACTACACACACACACACACACACACACACAAAAGCCCACCAAGTGTCCTAAGTTCAAATGCAATACAGTTTCAGTAAGTTTTTCCACTTGCAGGTGTAATTTGGTTGTTCTCTCATCAAAGATAGGGAGAAAAAGAAAAAAAAAGAGTCTGGAGACTTTTCTGAGAATGGAATCTGCAGCTGTGGCTTGCCTGCCCGCTGCTGTCAGCCTGCTGTTGCTGGAGGTGGTATTTATGCAGATCTCTGGGGTGAGCTTACCACTCACCTGGCCCCGCAGGCTTTGTTTGTTCAGAGTTCTCCTGTGTGGGAGCCCTCTGCTACAGCTTTCCCCTTTCCAGCACTGGGAAAGGTGACAGTGCCCATGTTGTCAGGCCTGCATGTTTATTTACAGTTCATGTGGGAGGTGGGTCTTCCCCCTTCTCCTGTGGAGTTTTCCTCCCACTGCCACTTTCACAAGCTTTCCTGCTCCTGATTACTGGGCGGTGCTGCTGCTCCCTGCCGCCATGTTTGTTTACAGTTCACGTGGGAATGGGTCTTCCCTCCTCTCCTGTGGAGTTTTCCTCCCTCCACCCCTCACCAAGCTTTCCGTCCCTGGTTGCTGGTGTGCGCCCTGCCCCCGCTCCGGCCAGAGGCTTTCCGGCCTGCCCGGCTTGTTTATTTACAGTCCCGGGAAGGATTCCCTTCCCCCAATCTTTGGCGCTCAGTGCGCCCCACCTCTTTTCCTGCATGTCTTTAATGTTCTTATGCTTATTACTCAGTTTCTCTTTTTTTTCCCCCGGTTGGAAGGTCAGTCTGTCCAGGGGCTATGCTGCTCTGGCCCAGGCTTGTCTGTGGGAGTACCGCAGTACCGCGAAGCTCACCAGGTCCACGTCTTCCCAAGCCGTCTGGGCGCGGGCGACTGGCAGCCCAGGGGCCCTCCTGGTTTCTCCGTTTAACGTAAAGTGGAGATTCTCTACGCTGGCTGGAGGTGTGGAGGGGTCAAAGTTATGCCTCTTCTCAGTGATTATGCCTGCAAAGTGTGTCTCCAGCGTCTCTCCAAGATTTCACTATAGGAGGCTCGCTTTCTGCTTCCTCTCTCTAGCTGCCATCTTGGAATCCCTCTGACTCCTCATCTTGAACTCCTAAACATGAGACTGCTTCTCCATCTACACTCATTCCCTGGTGTCCTTCCTAGTCTATCCCAAATGTGAATCTCCAACCTAGATGTGCCCTTCAACTTCAGACTTGTGCATCCAGATGCCTTAGTATCTCTTTAAAATTCAACAAGCATCTGGATTTTCTGTACTAAACATACTGTACCCCAGGCTTCCCCATCTCACTAACTGATAGCTCTTCTCTTCCATTTGTTGAATTCAAAAACCCTGGAAAGCCATGCTCCAGCTCCTATTTTTCCCTAACCACCCTCATCCTTTCAGTGAGAATCTATTGGCACAACCTTTGAAACATATCCCAAATATGGCATCTTCTCCCTACCCCAGCTGCCCCACCCTGTTCTAAATTTTCATCTTTTCCCAGATGGATTATTACAGGAGCCTCCTCAACAGGCTACTGGCTTCTCCCCTGACTTCACAGACTGTTCCATCACAGATCAGTAATGAAGCCTCCTCTCAATGTGGACCTAAACTACACCACTCCTCAGAGCCTGCAGAGGCTTCCATCTGGCTCCATTATCAAACCAAGGTCATGACAGTGACCAGCAGGCCCCTGCAGGATCTCCAGGCCCACAGAATTTGTTTCCTCTCTCTGAGCTTACTCCAGGTTTACTCCCCTACTAGGGACTTCTTAGGTAGCCCCTGGATTCTGCAATCTTGCTCCCTTTGTTCTTCCAGGTTTTCCTGCTAAGAGGTTACCTCACCAGTGAGGTTTCCTGACCACTGTATTCAAAATTGCAATGCATGCCACCCCTCCAAATCTGGTACTTTCTATCCTCCTTAGCCTTTCTAAGTTTTCCCCAGTCTGATGTTTATAATTGCTTCTTTATGTATGTATTTTCTATTTTCCTGAAGCTACATGCTGCTGTATCCCTAGCATGTAGACCAGTGACCAGGATATAGCAAGTATTTAAAAATAACTGAATGAACACATTCCATGTATATTAAATGTCGTATGATTTTCCAAGTTTGATGTGTAAGATTTCCTGTGACTCATACAACAGTCTAGTGAGTTAGGCAAGGCAGAACCTTGTATTTTAGATGAAGAGCTAAGGCCCATGGGTGCCAGTTGCCTAAAGACACATGCCTGGTTAATGGATTTCCTGGGACTTATAGTTCAGATTCCAGTTGCTGCCTCTCACCTTAACTACCCCCTGATGCCTTGTGTTATATTAATTTAAACTTCAGAGCATTAATTGCTATTTATTTTTCATTTCAGTATTGATGAGAAAACCCCCTATCTAGCTTTGGGAGCTGTGAAGAATATCTCCCTAAACATCTCCATCTCCAACCTTGGGGACGATGCCTATGATGCCAATGTATCCTTCAACGTTTCCCGGGAGCTCTTCTTCATCAACATGTGGCAGAGGGTAAGGAGGACACCCCTGAGAAAGTCTTTGTTCCTTTCAGTGCACTTGTTGACTTTCTTCATAGCTTGAGCTATGCAGTGATTCTACAAAGCCTGTTCCTTTACGGGGCATATTATTTGGGATTATTAGAATTTTTTTCAGCCTGTACTTAGAAAGTATGTTGGTACAAGCCAGAGCAGCAGCCATAATACATGCCTTTGGAGAGTGTCTATGTTTTACATTGTTCCCACCCCCTTTCTCTTGACTCCCTCCTTTAGCTTTTTGTCCAGCCCCCTCTCTGAGGTGGTACTTCTCCAGCACATACATGTTCTAGAAAACCCCAGTTTTAGGTCTGTAATTGTTGTGAAAATAAGATCAATAAGGATTGATCACTGCTTATCATGCTTGTTATCACCAGTAACTCTTGAATGTTTTCTATTAGACATCATCTATGGTGGCCTGTACATTGACATAGTTAGTTATATTTATTCCTTCCATACTTGAGTGAATTGAGGAGGTTAAATTATTTCCAAGACTTGAAGTGAGGGTTTTTATAGTGAATTAATGTATTTGAATGCACTGAAGTTTAGACAGCATGACTCAGAAGAAAATACTTTCTCCCTCCCATGATACTCTCAGTGCAATACCTTTGTGAAGGAGGAGGAACAGGCCCTCAGCAGGCAGACAGGAGGAACAGGCTGATTCATGTAGACTCCAGTCTACCTAGTTGCTCTGTTGAGAGCTGATCAGATGGGAATTTTTACAACCCTGAACTGTAGTGCTTGAAGTGAGTGTTAAAATGGAGCCAAAATCATTTTCTGAGGAAAACCTTCACCCGCCCTCAGTGGGCATATTTGTGTGTCCCAGGTGTATATCTGAGCAGGTGGAGGCCTTCTATTCAGCCACTTCTCCTGCAGGTTCAGCGGTTCTGACAGGACTGGGCAGGCTTTACTCAGGGGCATACTGAAACACCCAGAGTGGCAGTGCCCCAATAACTTTGCAAGAAGTCATCTTAGGTGCCCTGCTGCTCTTGGGAACCTCTGGGTTGAGAAGGCCACAAAAGCAATCAAGGACTACAGGAAGCACATGCTTGCCATTCACCTTCAGCACCTAAAACTTACTCTGTGAATTAAGCCCAGTGAAGGGAGACCACATGAGAAAAAATGATTCTGTACCTCTGACTACTACCTGATTGTATATCCTGGATGCCGTCCTCTGTGCAAGGTAGGAAGGCAGGTAAGGGATGAGGATGTACTGAGGGACCAGATATGAAACTCATGTCTATTTCTATCTACCTCTTCTTTCTCTCTCTCTCTTTCTCTCTCTCTCTTCCCCTCCTCCCCCTTTCTTTTATCAGTTCATGTTTTGAATCCAGGGCCTCATGCTTGCTAGGCAGGTGCTATACCACTTGAGCCACACCTCCATCCCTTATTTCCTTTAGTAATTTTTTGGATAGAGTCTTGTGCTTTTTCCTGGGCTGTTCTCAAACTATGATCCTTGTGCCTAAGCCTCCCATGTACTTGGGATTCTAGGTGTGCACCACATGTCCAGCTTGTTCATTGAAATGGGATCTTGATAACATTTTGCTGGAGCTTGTCTTCACCATGATCCTCCCAATTCCAGGCTTTTAAGTAGCTGGGATTATAGGTATGTACCACCATGCCCAGCTAAAACTCATTTCTATGGTAACTGGAAAGATGTGTTTAGTAACTGGGTCATAATATTATGCAGATTCCTCTGAACCTATGGGAGAAATTTCTCTCTAAACTCAATCTTAGAAATAACTATGCTTTCCTTGGCATTTTAGCTTGTTCTAACCTCTGGACAGTCTTGTGACTTATTACACTTCATTTTCTTTTGACTTCTAGAAAGTTTAGAGCTGGCTTCTCAAAAAACAGGGCTTCCCCTATTATCTTTGTGAACTCAGTAGCCTCCTGCATCTTCTTTGCTTCCCTCCACAATGTTTTTCTTTTTGGCATGGAGACTGCAATATATTCTACCATATGGATTTTATGGATTACTTCCTCTTAGTAGATATTTATATTATTCCAAGTTCTTTATTCTCTTTTAAATAATGTGATGAATGTCTTACAGAGATTAATATCAGCAAATGATCATATCTTTAGTTCTACAACTATTCAGAGGGTTGAAAGTAGCATTTGTGGCCACCTACTGCACAAGACTTTCCATGTTTTCCCCATTTCTTCCATGCATAAGATCCAGTGCTCTGAGAAGAGCAATGAGGGAAGTAGATAGGGAAAGGGAAGGAGAGCAAGGAAGGGCATGCTGTCAGGTCAAATCTAGCCTCCATCTGACATATGGGGCAGAAAGAAGTGGGGAATGCACTAGAGCATAAGTCATTGGCAGACTTGTCCTCCTCTTGAAGTTGCAGGGCACAGACTGTGATGAGTAGGCTCCCATTCTAGACAAAGAGGCTGTAGTCAGCCAAGGACAATGTGTATGAGAACTCCACAGGTATGAGTCATTAGTCACTGTAGCTGGCCATGGGAAAATGGAAACAAGCCATTTTGATCTCTTTCCTATGGAATTCCAGCAACCTCTAAAACCTTTGGCCCAGAAAACCCCAGATTTCATTTTGTCAAAAAGTTGACATGGTATCCTGGGATCTTCAGTAGTTTTGTAAGTATTAGTGTGAGAGAGCTGGCAGGACATAGAGACATCTAGCTGAATAGAATAACCAACCAGAAAAGCAGACGGGCAATGACCCTCAGGGCAACAGGGGAAAGAATGAAAAAGAAGTAGAAATTCTCCTTCATTACAACTACACTGCAAAGTTGGTCACCAGCTCAGTGCACATAGGTGGATAGTGAAGGGGAACCAAAAGAGCTCACTCAATCTGTTTAATAAGACTGACTGGATCCTTCAAAAAGATTCTAACAAAACTAAGAAAAGTGTAACTCAAGATACAAGGGGAAAACATAACTCTTTAAAAAATTATTAATGAAGAAAAAAGTAAATTTTCCAGAGCACTCACTTTTATTTAGAGAGTGATCTCAGGAGGCATGTGTAGGAGTGGGGAATTTAGACAAAGAAGGGAGGAAAGACAAAAAAATGTAGATTGATTAACAGGTTACCACTGTGAGCACCTTGGGCTTAGTCTTCTGCAGACTCTGAGATTCTGGGTATAACACACCTCAGAATTATTCTTCTGAGAGGAGGGAAGTTGCTGAAGGAGTGACCCACAAACTCCCATCACACATCATGGAGTACAGTTCCAAGGCTACTGAGCACATCCAGCCTTCAGTGGTTATGCCCTCTCCCTCTCCCCCGACTCCCTGGAACTAGGAACCAAGTGAGGAAAAAAATTGTGGTGAGTCTTAGACCTCAGTGGGACCAGCTTCAAGTGACTAAACATCTGATTGGTTCTAGGGAATGTGAGCAAGGTGCTGGCATCATTTGCTGTAATGACCATGGAAGCTTCCTGAAAAAATAGTTATAGGTAAACCACTCCAGAATGTGAAAGTTTCTGAATAAAAAGTATAGTAAAGCCAAATAAACAGAATGAAACAAAAACAATTTTATAGATATCTTAAGTAATAAACAAATATAAAAATTATTGCCACAATAAATATGTAATTTAAATAATTAATTAAAAATTACCCTCTAATCTCAGTTATACCAATAAAAATTTGAGAAAGAACTTGAGTTCTTCCTGATTCCATTTCATATTCTTCAGAATAGAGTTCAGACTCCTTAGCTGGTCCTATGAGTCTATCCTGAGTTTGGTCCTTCCCGCTTCCCTTCCTCTCCAGACTCATTGCTCATCATGTCCCCTTATGTACACTTGAGTCATTCTTCATGCATTATTCAAACTGCCTTTTCCCAAGTGTCTCCCTACTCCTATTGTTGTTTAATGAACTATGTGGCCTTCAAATCGCAGTTCAAGTGTCACCTATGCAGCCTCCTCACCTGGCGGCACAGGATCTGTCCTCTAAGAGATGGGCAGCTGGATGGCTGGATAGGTGGATGGATAGAGTGATAACACTCTTGTCCAATGTCACAGAAGAACCAGAACTCAGGCCTCCAAGGTCTCCAGGCTTCTTTGACATTGCATAGTCAGTTAGTGAGATATTAGCTTTTAAGACTAATTAAATTTCCATCACTGTGACAAAAGACATGAGAAAATAAATTTAAAAGGAGGAAAGGTTTGTTTTGGCTCATGGTTTCAAAGATTTGCCCCAGTATTGGTTGTCCCTTTGCTTTGAGGCCTGTAGTAAGGCAGCAGCACATCATAGTAAGGAAACCACAGTGAAGCAAATCCGCCCACCTGTGGCAGCTGAGACGTAAAGAGAGAGACAAAGAGACCAGTGCCCCCTTCAAACATCTCACTCAAGGGCACATCCCTAGTGACCTAATATCCTTCTACTCAGCCCACCTCCTGAAAGTCTCACCACCTTCCAAGAGTACCTGGACCTTTGGGGGACACTCCAGATCCGAACTATAGCACCCTTGAAATGGGTTTTTCTATTATGTTTTCATAGATTTATGTTGAGTTAGTTTTTATTTTTAAGGGAAAGCTTTTTATAAATATGTGGCATATACATGAACCACTTGCTAACTTGTGTCTCACCTAAACTAAGCTAACTTGAAAACACACTATAAAATGGGAATCAATTTATTTGTGTCTGCTTGGCTGAGTAACTGATGTGTACTCTCCCACCAGAGTTCAGGGTGCCACGGGCAGCAGCTGAGTTTCTACAGGGTGCAGGCCCAGTGCCCCATGTCCCTGCCAGACAAGAAACAAAGGAGTCCCTCAGAAAGATTATTCCTGGAGTTCTCCCAGGAGCAGTGAGAGGAAGTGATGGGGGCAGGGTATGCATTTAAAAGGGAAACCAATAAAGAATAACCACACACACCACACAGCTCCAGGGTCACCATTCTGGTGGCCAATAAAGAATAACCACCATGCCCACACAGCCAAATCCACAGAATAGAACATGAGTGGTGCCCTGGGCTCTACTGCTGTGTGGCCTCAAGTTAAGATGAAGTCTGGTTTTAAG